ATATATAAGATATTTATATTTTTTTTTTGTAGTTATTGATGATTATTATATATGGTGAGTATGAGGGTTCTTCAAGGTGCAAGAGCCGTATATTACATATATATATATATTTATTTATTTATTTATTTATAATATTTATATATATATTATTATATATATATTTTTTCTTCTTTGAAATTATTGATGAATATTGTAATATTGAAATAGGTCACAGTGGTGGGTACGAGGGTTCTTCAAGGTGTAAGAGCCGTGGATGCGGATCAACCGGGACCATTTTCTACCGTACAGTATGCAGTTTTGCCTGGACCACACTCGGTACCATTTTTCGTTCTTTTGATCCTTTGAATGAAAGAGATCTTTCATTTTTTTTTCTTTTTTTTTTAGGATTATTTCGTGTTCGTAAACGCTTTGGAAGGTACTCTGGTCCTAAGGAAACCACTGGATTACGAAACACTCGCCAATTTCTCTGTAGATATACGCGCACAAGTGAGCCATTAATCGTTTTTGAATCGTCTCTTAAAGACGATTGATGAACTTTATTAAAATGTAATCTAATGTCGCCTAGGATCAAGGTAACCCGCCAAAATCATCCGCTACGACACTTTACGTCAATGTCATCGACGCGGATGACCAAAATCCTGCCTTTCAAAGTGACCAATACAAAATTCTCGTTCCTCGAAACATTAAAACGGTACACAATTTTTATTACTATTATTATTATTATTATTAACCCTTTGCGCTCGAATTCGATCAGCGACAATATTTATTTATGATCGATTTTTTTAGAATATCGCTTTGTGAATTGATTTCTAAATTCTTTACATATAATCTTATGAAATGTAGAATAATATATTGTCGAATAGATAAATTTTTTTATTTCAAATTAGATCGGACATTTTCGACATTGGTCCTGGCAATAGGAATATTACCTTCAAAGTTTTTGAATTTTGATGATTTTTCATTATTGAATTCGACGAAATTGCTATTCTGTTCGTAAAAAAATTGACGATAGAAGGAAGGAAAGCAATGATGAAGATAGAGATGAAGTAAGAGATGTAAAAAATAAGGATAATAGATAGTAAATTATATTATACAAGGTTTACTCTTAAAAGATGAGAAGAATAAAAGACATTTTAGTTAGTGATGGATTTCAGCGATCTTTATAAAATATCGAGCGAAACAACAATATACAGAGTTTAATATTCGACAAATTTTCTCTCTTTACATAAAAATAAAGATGAGGTGAAATTATTTCGAGTTAAAAAATTCGAACATAATCGGAAAATCGGTCTCGAGTTATTGATTTGGTCGAGCGAAAAAGCGCGATGGATTAAAAATTGATTAAAATAATAATCAAGTTAAGATATCTCACTTTTTTTCTTTTTTCCCAGAGAAAAACACTGAAGGTAGATCCAATGGCGATAAAAGCGATGGATCAAGACGTAGGAATTAACGCTCCCGTCAAGTACACGATTCAAGGAGGTATTCTTCCATTTCTCACCCTGAATCCGGAAACAGCCGAGGTTGCCATAACACGGCCGTTATACGAACACGAACTCTTGTCCCCAGCAACGATCGTCGTCAAGGCAAACATCCTCGCAATACAAATTCTTTAATAAATTAAACTTCAATGTTACGTATAAATTTCTTATCTCTGTTTTGTTTCCAGGCTACGCAATTGGACAATCCGGATAAATACGCTCTTTCCACCATAGTTGTTTCTCGGGAGACAGATTGGAACGTGGAACCCACCGCTGGTGAAGATAATCTCTTCTATTTCTTTGAATTTTCATTATTATAAATCATCATTATTATAAATTATAACAAATTATTTAACTATTATAAACACATAATTATTATTACATTATTATAAATTAGGTGGAAGATTACCTGTCAAATTTATACGAAGGGATCATCAAACCACTATCCCAGAAAACACTCCTCCGGGAAGTGTTCTGTTAACGACAGGGGTGAATAAATTAGATTCCGTAAGTCAGATTTTTCTTTTTTTAAGATCAGGATCGATTAACAATTCCTCTCTTCCCACGAATTTTCTTCTTTTTTTCAACTATTTTCAGAATTTAAGATTTTGGCTGGTGGGGGCAATTGAAGATCTCGAGAGATTCTCCATAACCAATTCCGGCGAATTGATTTTGAAGGGTACTCTGGATTACGAGAGGAGGGTACAGCACAGTTTTCTGGTTCGCGTTACCGACGGCCATCACGTGCGTGTACAATTTCTTTTCTTTTATTTTTTCAAAATTCTTGAAAATCGGCCGTTCAAAATTACATTTTAGAGAGTAAAAATTTAACGAAAACGATAATAATTAAATTTTGGAATTGGAAATAATGCAAGGATATTTGTATACACGTTGTACAATAACAGAACGACACTTCACGCGTGAACGTTTCTGTCGAGGATGTGAACGAATGGGAACCTCGGTTTCGTCATCCTAGATACGAATTCCACGCAGCGACATCGAGAGAAGGATCCATTGTCGGTGAGCCAATTTTCTCTCCTACTTTTACATTTCTTTTTTCACGAATTAATATCTTTAATATTTTTCAGGAAAGTTAGAAGCTGCCGATGGTGACAGAGACGACAAAATTAGTTTATCTCTTAGAGGTCCAGATGCAAGGTATGACAACAATATATATATATATATATATACATATATACAGCAAATTACGTATTATGATGTATTTCCTCGTAATGATTTTAATATTGATGAAATAAATAATGAAATAAAATCAATTGTAATTCAGATCTTTCGAGATACGTGACAATGGAGAATTAATTCTCAGATCGGTAGCAACGGTTAACGGTTCCTTGGCCAGATTAGTGGCCGTGGCTTCCGATTCTGGCCGCCCCCCCAGGTTATTGAACAAACAGTCAATGAATAAAATTAATTTTATCCGCACTTCGTAATTCAAATTTATAATTCCTTCCAATTTTCTTCTCTCTCTCTCTCTCTCTCTCTCAAGATCCAGCATGATCCCGGTAATCGTGCACGTGCCGAATAGCGGATCCTTGCCGATAGCCGCGAGAGCCGCACCCGCCTGGTTGGGAAGCAGCGTCCTCCTTGTCGCCGTTTTCGGCGCTGTTTTGGGTCTCCTTGGTGTTATAATACTTGTTTTGATATTGTACATATACAAAAAGTAAGTAATGTCTTTAAATTAAAAGAAAAACCTTTAATGTAACTTGCATTTCTTTCTTCCCAAATTTTTCTACATTTTTTTTCCCACATTTTTCATGTAAAAGCAAAAGACCAAAGACGAGCGGGTCCGTGAGCTCGGTCGGGACCGGTTATCGAGAAAAATCGCCGGTCCCCTCTGCCCTGAGCCCGACACCGCAAGTGCTCGGGGCAAACATGCTCCAGGACGCTCTGGAAGTTGGTCCTCGAAGAGGAACTCGTGCCGAGGATGCGCACAATATCGAGGAGAACGGGGAGGAGGAGGCCGGGGACGATTCAGAGGAAATGGATCGTGTCGATCGAGAGATCGTCAATGATAGCATCAATGGCGAATCTCAGACGGCGAATAACGACAGTGGCGATGTTGAAAATCCTGTTTTCGGAGCGAGGAATTATAATGCCACGATTAAAAGTAAATAAATAATTATAAAGAAATAATTGTTCGTTCAATCAATGATTGGAATCATTTTATATTATTCGTTTTTGTACAAATTAGGTGTAACGTCAGCCAGACAAATACCTGTTTACGCGAGACACAAGATAGCCCCGGCGCCAAATCCTCCAGGTTTGTCTGCAACCTCCAACATACCTAACGTCGGTGGTCTAGTACAAAACATGAATGACTTAAGCGCGAAAACAAACTTGAACGCTAGCTCTTGCCAATCCTCCAATTATTCCGGAGATGTTCCAGATTCGTTGGCGTTGCCCGCGTGGCCTGCTTGCTCCGTTTCACAGAGAGTTAAAAAATTATCCTGGGACGACGATGACAGGGTATGCCTTTCTATTTTACGAAAATATATATATATATATATATATATATATATATATTATATATGTATTATATATAATTATAACAAATGTATTATTATATGTATTATGTATTTCGACAAGCAATTGTGCACGATTAATACGACTTATCGTTATGGTTTATTATTATTATTTTCTTTTCTTGTTTCAGACAGTGGATAGCGTGGAAGTAACGGCGGAAACAATGTCCAGAAACAGTCAGATCGGGAACGAACGACTTAATCTTACCGTGTATTTTTAATCATGAAACGAGAAAGACTGAAAGAGAAAATGGTTCCAATTTATTATACCATCGAACGAGAAAATATTCATCGATAGGTTATTTGAATAAATAAATTCCTTTAATAAGCAGACAAATGTTAAAATGTTCTGTATCGTTGCCAGATTATAACGAATTTTAAATCAATGTACATATAAAATGTATATTAGTTGGAGATAATGCATCGAATGATAATGCAAATACGTTCTTTATTATTCATAGTTGTTTTATTAAAGAAATACAAAAAATTAAGAAATGACGAAGTTTTTTTAATTTACATTTAACTCGACGATCACTTGTCAAGAAGATAAAATTTCGTTTCATCCGAAGAATCGTGTCAGTAGAACGATACTTTTACGAACTCTTCTTATGTGTTATTCTTATTTTTCGAGTTGTGTAATTTAATATAATATATATGATTCTAAAATTTCTAAAATTTTCGAGAAGATAATCAAAGTAAGTTTTGATTTGATTAAAATTTTAAATGAACGAGAAGGGAAGAAATTTTGACTATGAGGACGAATCGCGCAAAAGCGTGAAACGTAACGGCCAAATTTAATAAAGAAAGTGACTCATTTTTTCGAAGAGGAGAGAGAGAAAGTGTCTCGTACGAACCTCGACTCTCGATAGTCTTACTTCGCTCATGAACGAAAGTGGATCGAGCAACTGAGCAATATTCAAGAAGAAATGAATGTGGTATGATAACAATTAAGAGGTCGTCTTTATTTTATAGATATATACGTACGTAATGCATCTTAATCTTTTATCGCTGTATTGTATCTTTCCTGATATATTTTTTTTTTCTTAAATTAATTTTGTAAATAATAATTAATTTGATAATTCATCCGAGTTGTCTGTAAAAATATAATCATTTACATTTATATACTTTTTATAATAAATGAAAGGAATATCAAATTAAGGTGTTAAGAATATTTAAAGGAATATAATTATTAGCAACTGAATATTAATTAGAATATTTAAAAAAACATTGAAGAAACGATTTGAATGATCTATCGATCATTCTAAACTTTCTTAAAGAAAGTTAAAGATATCTCTGCTTCGCAATCGAATTTCTCCTTATTTTCAGGTGTACCATGAAACATAAACTATCTTTTTGCTTACTTTCCATGTTATTCTTTCAATTATGTATTATGGAAATTCCAGGTATACGAAAAGGATTAAATTCTTTATATAAAAATATATATCTTTTAATAAGATTATTCATATTTTTAGATAATTTATATTCGGTATCCGCTATAAATTCACTTAACGTTTCAATGATTGAACCATTAGGAATATGGGGTGAAATTCTAGAAAACTGGACTATTTCCGATTCAAAAATAACCAGAATGTCGAAAGTGATGAAATTGGGAGATAAAAGCTTAACCGTTACAAGCAAAATATCGATGCCAAACAAACGAGAAGTCTCTGAAACAGATCTCTATTTACTTGGTAAAATTATAATAAAGAAATGGATAATAGAATAATTATTTTCCTATTTAAAATTATATAAATTATCTTCTGTGATATAAAGGTGCGATAGAGAAACTTGTCTACAGAGTAGATTTTTTAGAAAATCGTCTTAAAAGAGCAGAAGAACTTCTGTATTATGTAATTTCTGGAAATATCAACAAAAAAGGCAAGTTTTAAATTTTTCTCATTTCTTATTTTATAAAATTTTAATTTATAGTAATTGATTCTCATCTTTGCAAAAATTCTTTATCATCCTTAGAATCCTGTCCCAGTAATTATTCCAAAATCGGCCAGAATTGCTATCACTTTAGCAATCGTGAATTCGATTGGAAGTCGTCAGCAAGTCTTTGTCGAGGAATGGGCGGCCAATTATTAGAATTTGATACTAATAATGAAAAACACGACGTAATAGTTAATTTACAAACGAATTCTAAATTAAAAGGTAAAACCTTTTGGACAGGAGGATTAAATCCAGGTCTTCTTTGGATCTGGGCTAGTAGTGCAAAACCAGTTTATCAAAATACTAAATACACTGTTCCTGGTGATGGCAGGTAAGATTATTTTTTAATATCAAAAATTATAAATTTAAAAAATACATTTAATGATTAATAATTATTAATGAAAATTTAATTTTAAAATATTGTAAGTTCAATTTAGATAAATATTTATTTCTTTTTTTTACTTAATGCATTTTTAGATGTTTAAAATTATCTTACAATTCTACATCTAGATTGTACTCTTATCAAAGTGATGATTGTGGCGCAAGACACAAATATGCTTGTAAATTGACAAAAGATGATGATTCAGCAAAAAAAATTGAGAAAACTGCAAAAATGTTGAACGAATAGCATTAAATGTAATAACTAATATCTAATAACGTTTAATAATTCATTGTATTTATTGCATATATATTTATTTGATTTCAAAAATTCATATTTAATAATGTTAAAAAATATAATACATGTATATAAAAATAAAATAAACACAATATACTTAATATAATATCAAATATATACATATATAAGTACTGCATGTTAAGTTCAATTAATATTGAAATTAATTTATACAATGATATAATTATTATATCATTATTACTATTATTTCGATATAAGTATCGATTATTTAATAATACAAGTTATTATTAAATAATAAAACTTATAATAAAATTTAATAATTAAGTACAATGAACTAGGAATGATTAATAAGTATAAGAAAAGAATCTTAATAAAATAAATCTAATAAATATTTTAAAAAATTTAAAGCGTTTTTAACGAACCATTTACAATATTGTATTATATACAAGTCCTGTTTCTGAAACAGGATATATGTGTATATTAATTGTACGATATTAATTCATACAATTTTCTGCATGGCAACAAATCATTGCTTTTGCAATTTTATGACTCATAATAAGGCTTCGTTTTCCCTTGTTTATCATTTCAAGAACATCGTGACTATTAGTGATAAGTCCTCCATTCTCATAGATTAGTTTTTTAGTTTTTTCAATATTAGGTACCGAAACACCACGACAACAATCATCAATAACAGCCAAAGCATGGCCTAATTGAAGTCCGTCTAAACATGTAAATTTTATACAAACATCATAAGCGAGGCCACATACGAAGATCCGTGTCGCACCTAATTCATTTAGAATTTTTTGCAGTTCCATTGTTTCTTTATCATTATTATCGTAAAATACGGAATAAGCTTCCATATCTGAATTTTGACCTTTACGTACCTAAAAAACGAAGTTAATTATAGTCAACGCATTTTTTTTTATAAAATTTAAATTTAAATTTTTCGCTCTGAAAATGATTTAAAATACCTGCACAGAATTAGGTGTAATCAAAAGATTTTTGTGCAATTGAGATCCCCATGTATTCATTACACAATGCTTAGGCCATAATATCTGTTCCGAATAAGGATCCGCAAAAACCACTGTATCAAATGGCTTGGCATTGTCTTTTGTTACCTTATACATAATTAAAAATATTTTGTTTGAAGAATGACATTTTTTTTTTCTTAAAAAAAAGAAGAATGATATTTTTTTTTCTTAAAAAAAAGAAGAATGACATTTTTTTTCTTAAAAAATATTTAAATAATTTTTATTTTACGAAACAAAAAGAATATATGTAATATTTGTAAATTATTTTTAATTTAAAAATAAAACGAAAATTTTTACACATTTAAAATTAATATCGAAATGATCAAACAATAATTTTAATTTTAAATATTCTTGTCATAATACAACAAATGTTGATTTGTATAATTTTTTATCTATTTTGTTCAAGAAAAATATTCAATTTTATTGCAATAAAATTATAAATTTTAACTTTTTTATACCTTTGAATCTGGATGTAATTCTCGTAAATGTAAATTTTCATAAAAACTGATATGATTTTCTGGATGCCAATCTAACGAATAAATAATTTTATCGAAAAATCCATTTTTTAATAAATAATTAATTGGTTCCACTACATCAACTCCATCCTGTTTGGCTTCACAAGCACGAAGGGCTAAAGATCCATCAATAAAATCATTTTGAACGTCTATAATCAAAAGTGCATCTACAGGTTCAAGTATCACTCGTAACCAATCACAGAATCTGTTTAATAAATCAAATAAATTATATGATTATATTTAATTCGTTAAAATTGCAATATTGATACAAAAAATTCTGATTGAAAATTTGAATTGAAAATTTTATTCTAGATACTTAAAATTATCTCATATATTTTATCATGATAATTACTATTTTTTGTGTAATGTAAAAACTATATTATATAAAATATATCATTGTATCAAGATAAATTTAAGATAAATTTAAATCTTAACTCCTAATGATATTATTTTCATTATTTCAGTCTTATATGTTTTAGCATCAATCCCAAATTCTAAATCATAAAAAAATATGCCCATCTCTTTAAATCAGAAATTTAAAATCAAATTATTAACCAAGAATTAATGAATAAAAAAGTTTGTTGAATTTATCATATTTTCCATATTCAGTTTTCATGTGCTTATATAATTCCAGTTTGGTAATAAACAGATACAATTCATCATGAAAATAAGTATTCAGAAATAATCTTAAATCAATATAAATTGATATTTTGATTATTTGAAATTAATAAAAATAATAAAAATAATAATAATAATAAAATAAAAAAAAACAATACACTTGCAAATTTGAAACACTGCTTCATTTCATTAATTGAATTTTGATAATATATTGTATGACTAATTATGGATCCAATTTTCTGTAGTATTTAGAATTTGGAATTGAAATTAAAGTTACATATTATAGATCAACTTTACTTACAACACTAGTACTGTATTTATATATATATGCTCACATTTTTAACAGCAAGCCCATTACGTAATTCTCCAGGACTATATGCAATTAAAATATTGTTTGTTTGATTTGTTACGTATAAAAAAGATAAATTATAATTACGTTTTCCACTCTTGTTGCTGCAATATACCATCTTTGTTTAGATCAAATGAACAAAATATCTCTCGAATCCTCCATTCATCTTGTTTGATTTCATTTGGATAAAAAAGCATAACACAAATTGAATGAAAATTTGCATAATTCAAATTACCATCTTTTTCTGATAAATTACATTCAGCCAGAAATTTCTCAATAGACCATTTTTTTTTTTCAACAACTGTTGATTGGTTACATTTTACTTCCATATTGACAATATTGATAAAAAGCTCACTTTAAAATAATATATTACTTGTCTATAATTACTTGTACACTTATTTGCAACAGCTTTTTTCTTAAAAATATACTATTTGTCTACTTACAATCAATATATAATTCTTAATTATTTCCTTTTTATTATTGAAAAATAATTTATTATAAGATATTAGAGGTTAATTGTTTCACATATAAAGCATGAATGATCTGTAAGTACTATACTTAAGTAAGTACGTTATTTAAATTGGCAGTTGGAGGGTGCGGGCAGTAAATCACTTATATGTATAATCTCATCAAATGTAACATATACTAATATATGCTATTGGTAATAGTTAATAGATGTGATAATGTGATTCAGCCAATTATAAGAATCGTAACTTGACTATGTGTTTGTATTTGTTGGCTTATTAAATCCTATATTTTTTTTAGGTGCTAACTTACTTCGATTACGTATTACGAAATAACAACAATTTTACGAAAAATATATTCTTTACAAATTTAATTTTGTTTTTTTGAACTTCTTATTTATTTAGTTCTTTAATTTTCATTTATATTTTAAAATGCAATATATATAATATACAATTTTTTATAATAATAATTTTTCATATCTTAAATTTATTTTCTAAAAAACTTCATCAAGAAAAAATTAAGGTATTGATAAAAGTATTAATAAAATTAAGCTTCTATCTTAAAAATACATTTTCCTATAATTTAAAATTAATGACACTAATGTTATATATATTATAACATTTATAAAGATGTATTTTTTATGAATTTTTTTGTATAATTTAATATGAAAAAATTTAATTATTCTTACATATAAAAATCAAGATTTTTTTATTTTTGTAAAAAATGTATTTTCATTCAAATATGTATATTTGAAAAAAATATGTATATTTCTTGATTATATGTTTAATATATAATTTTCTTATATGTATTGAAAAAATGTTTATGTATTTATACATGTATATATTATTTAAAAAATTGTGTATTATAAAAATAAAAAAAGAAATTCAGAAATTATTAATAGTTGTTAGTTATAGAATTGTTAAATAAATATTATTCACAATTAAATTTTTTTCTTAAATATAAATATTTATTACTTTTGCATAAAAATTGTAATTTTCATAAATATGCAATAATAAATTTAATTTTTAAATATTTTATAATTATAATCCAAATTATAAAATCAAACAAATTAATCTATAATTCTAATTAAAAATAAATTAACTTAATAAATAACTATCTTCTTAATATTATAATGAACTTAAATAATTTTTTAAAACATTTATAAAAAATCGATGTTTATTTATATAAAAATGGAATTAAATATTATTTAAAAAACAAAATGTATGCAAAAGAAATTATAAAATTTAAAAGTAATATTAAAAAATTAAAGTAATATTAAAAAATTAAATATTAATTAAATATTAAATATTACTATATTATTAAATTATTAATATTAAATATTATTATTATTATTAAATTAATTTAATTAATATTTTATTTATATATTATTTTCACAGAAAATAAAAAAAATATTATGTAAAATATACTAATTTACTTTTTCATATGTTTATAAAACACAATTATCTTTATTCTCTGTGAAAAT